TGGTATATAGATCCAAATACAAAAATCACCAATTAAACCAAAAAACACATATTTTTCTATTAATTTTCTCTATTTTGAATTTCTTTATTAAAGTATCTACTCTAATGCATGTGCATAACTGCATATTTTGCAATGAACTTGTTTCACCAATTTGGCAAAAATCCTTTTTATTACCATGACGTAATCGAAAGGGCCTTGCGACTCCAAAAACAAGTTTGGACAGTAAAAATTTTGTGTGCAATTGCCTCGCGAGGTCAACAACCTTCGGTTGCGTTCGCAAAAAAAAAGAAACTGCTGATCAACGACAATCAGAAACAAGTTTTTTTTATTTAGTCGTTAAAGAGTTTCGAATTGTTGGAGTTCGGTTCAGTTATGTCACGGATCGAAAGTACCTCTATAATCTGTCAAGCAAGATGGATAAAGTTACGTCAATCGAACTGCATAGGATCTGCAGAGACTTTGGTAACATTTAATTACGTAAATTAAAATATGAATAATTAGCTTTCTTCCTACGGCTTCACTCGCATGTTATGTGTAATTTTAGTCTTGGACATTTTTATAAAGTGTTAGTGTATTCTTTACAAAAAATAACCTTGAATGCGTTATTTTTTGAGAGCTATATACAACTATGAAAATTTATTTACTTACATAGAGTCGAAAATACTTCATCACCTTTTCAAGCAAAAATAATATTGTTATTAAATAATAGTTTCTGCTAATCCTATTGCATTTAGGTAACTTACTTTTTTTTTGGTTCTAAGATCAAATATTAAGCTTTCAACGTATACTAATTCTGACTCGTTCAATTTGGTGTATGTATTAAATTAAACAGTTACCTACATAAAATTCATTATAAGTTACATTCTAACATTTTTTATTAACTTATGTACGGAGTGTAAGGTTACACTGACTGTTACAATAAGAATTTGGTATGCAGGTAAAAAATAAATATCACAGTTTACATGTGAATTAACACAATTCCAATCTATACAAAAAGTCTCGTTATTGTATTTATAAATCTTTATACGATCGAATCGGTGACAAATTTCTCACTCTATTGGATAGTTACCAAAGATCACCCAAGAAAGATCCATTTCCAATGTTTAAGGCTTTGACTGCTGACAGAAAACTGTGGAAGGTAAATCCTCCGCTAGCGTGGCCCATACGTTGTCCCCCATGGCGTTCAAGGTGTTAAATGACATCACACCCTCCCTAATCTCCCCTAATTCCAATTCACAAGTCTCTAACCCTCAAAAAACCGACAAAGCGGCGCCGATTGCTTACACCTGATGGTAAGCAATGACCAGTGAGCACGTTAAAAATAATTTTAATCCCGACGACAAATGTTGATGTGCAATATTTTTCGCCTGGTACTGTACAGACCTAGCTCTTGGTAGTTGTACTATTAGGATTTCAAACCTGTCACGTTTTCCTCCCATGAAGAATAAAATTTGTGGCTTATTATTTGCACCTTCTTAAGGAAAACCGCGTGTTTGGAGAGGGATTTTTTTCAAGTGGGGATTTTTAAAGACACCGTCAATTTGAAAGGAAAGTATGGATCTTTCCTTTTCCCAGGTTTTAAGGACAAGGTGTAACTAGTTTTTTCCGGTATACCTTTACCTTTTGTTTCCAAAGTTTCTATAATAATTCTGTGCGGACTTCTAAAGGCTTTCTTTCTTCTAAAGGCTTTCTTTCTTTTCTTTCGCGATTTGGAACATTAGGCTCTAAACAATAAAAGCAATCTTTGATCAAGAAGTTAGCTCACAATTTTATTGATGCTTGTGAACATAAGATGATGTTAACTAAAAATCGCGGGTTACGCACGTATAAATACTAAGAAAAGCTCCACTATTTTCGAGCCACAGAGGGGCTCTTCCTCATGAGCAGTGTGCGCGGTAGCGCGGAAAAACTTAAGATGATGTTTTTATGATTATTTTTTCTTACATTCTCCTCTCGTTATATAAAAAATGTATGTAATATTAGAACCAATGTAAGGCATTCAGAACTTGTCATAATCCTTTCTTCATTACACAATAACGAGGTCATATGACTTGACATCATTTAAATAATCTTTCTCTTACAGCGTCCTTTTTGTACAAACCGAATTTTTTGAGGTCATTATAAACCTTCGGATGCGGAATAAGGTAAAATCAAGGGGCCTTACCTGCCAAAATGAGTTAAAAGACTATAAAACTTGCACACGTATGCGCTTGAGTCATTTTCGTATAAAATATTCAGGGAGACGCAATGGTAGGGTGACCATGATAGCGTATATCGAAAAAAGTATTATTAACTGTCATTGAAGCTGATTTCAATTAGGTAGGTATATTTTAATTATGACTATGAGTGACTATACAATATACGTATTAATATATTTTGTATCACTTTTTTTATCAAAAGAAGAACCCGCCTTCAGTAAAACATTTCTATTGCGATACTTGCGTCGATAACAGCATGAATTAATTTTTAATTTTTTCTGGAATTCACAACAGCCTTATCCCTATCCCCGTCTGTCTGGCATCTTATGTAAAAGTTAAAAATATCTGTTGTAAGTCTGCTACGTAGAATATTAAAAGGTATACATAGTTTTATATGATAAAAACCAAACAGCCGACCAGTTGAATTACCATGAAACCAATTGAATTTTTTACAGGCGGTTGTAAAATATCAAAGTTTAATTAGCATGCTACTCGTGTTTAGTAATAATTAGAAACACGAACCGCTGTATTATAAAGGTTTTAAAACGTTTACCCGAAGTTTTTATACAAATCTTTAAGTCGCTCGCTCTTGAGACATAATGGCTTGACGATATACATTTCTTTTGTATTTCAATAACACACTACATATTTGTATATTATTCATAATTTCAATAGACGTTATAACTGCCATTCAATGTTCTTTTTCCTGGGAACAAAAAAATGACGTTAAATTGTTTTTTGCGCGTAAAGCCTAATTTCTTAGTAGCACGAGGTATGGTAGTGTTCGGTGTTTAGGTATAGGCTTGATCATTATCACAATGAGGCTTTTGACACGGCCATTTTTTATAATATGGGTACATTATATATAATTGTTATTGTGATATTTTTTCTTACTGCAAATCATTTGTACGATCAATAAAATTGTCATTCAAGCAGCGTCGCCCGTAGACACTTGCAGCGCTGGATACACAAGAGTGTAGTCAGCCTTTTGGAGGTTGAGGATTTGGACACATAGGGAAATAGGGGTTGAACATTCATAGACGTAGACTTTTCAACCGTATTACAAAGTGATAAAATTAAATATTAATTGAAGAAATTTTAGTTTAGGGTGATTTCATGTGCTGGTGGTTGTAGACCCTTGACCCCACTCGTGTTAATGTAATTTTAACACTACGTATTTCTTCTTATCCATGTTAATTTTTGTTCTCTATTTTTCAAGGTTCCGTCTACTAACAATTTTATTTCGTTACAATAAATTATAATTACTTAGTGATTAAAAATTATTATAACAGGTATGTACATGTATTACGTCCTTTTAATGACGACAGCATAAAAAACGATGAAAGTTTAATAATTATTGTTATAACGTTTTATCTGGAGTTGAACATCCCTAAAACATAAATTATATTGGGTTTTTCGATTTGAAAAGTCAAGAGTTTTGGTGAAAACCAACATAAAACAACGTTGTCTGCGTCGTAGTGTGAGTGAGGTTACCGGAGGCCAAATTATTCCCTTCCTCAATCTTTCCTATCCCCGAATTTCCAACAATCGTCAAATTCCTAATCCCCAAAAGGCCATCAACGCACTTGTAACGCCAATGGTGTTTAATATCCATAAGCACCAATTGCTTGCCATCAGGTGATACGTCAGCTCGTTTACCGGCTTATGCAATAAAAAAACTAACGGTTTTTGTTATTTTTTGGTGACGTTTATTACCCACTATTTTATTGTTTACTATATACACACTAGGATCTACTTATAAGTCATGGGTGCCTCTACTTACATAAAATTTTATAAAAATGTGCCTGTATTTTCAGAAGGGAACAAATTCGATACCTTAAAAAATTCAGAGAGCAGGTTGCTTTTAGTAGCTAACTTACTTATGCTAAACCGATATTGTTAATATTATTACATCAAATGGATACTCTCACTCTTTTACTTCTCCTCGATTAATATCTTCAGATTTATTTCGTTACGTGATTCAAAACAGTAATCATGCCTTTGTGGCGCGCCGAACTTCAATGTTCCGGCGTTTTCGTGGTTGTATCTACTGTAAATCCTGGCTAACAGGAGTTGCAGCAGTTTTGAAAGACTAGCGGGCTTGTCCCATTAAAAAATCATATCATGACTTGCATACTTTTCTAAGGGTCGATTTTTCCAACGCCAGATAACCAGATATGAAGATTAACTTGGAATATTAATTTGACAATTGTTGCATACTGAAAACTGACAAATGTCGATTTTGTTCTACAGTTAAGACTTAACTGATGATTTTAAAATCGGACCCTAGTAACTTAATTAATTTACTTACAGTTACTTGACTTCCAAGGTGTATAAAAAGTGTTTTAATTTATAGCCATCAAATTATCGTCATCTCTAATAATTTTATTTCCTTTTTCCTTAACAATAAAACTCAGGTAACAATAATACAATTAAAATAATTACTTTTGTTTATTTTTTTTTTACTAACCAGGGTATTTTTTTATATGAAGTAAGTACTACAGTCGTCATAGAATTATATACTTACAATAAATCATACTTTAGAATCTAAGTAACGTCAAACGTTCAATATTTTTAAGCGAACAGACTGATAGATGGAAACGTCAACTGTCTGAGATTTCTGTATAAGGAAAAACAAAATAAATAATGATCATCACTGACCAAATACGACCACTATCATGAAATCTGTTACAAAAGTAATCAAGGTACATACAGGTAAAATATTGTCAAAACGTTCCGAGCATTCAATAAGCGCGTGGTCACACTACTCTTAAACCCTCGAAAACGAAATGAAGTGCAGTTGATAAACCGCGCGGCGCACGCGCAGACGGCTCCGTAATTCAATAATGGCGCGAATCCCAATTACGTTAGCCGTCTTCTCGGCGACAATTTTGGCCGCAAATATAGTTACAGGTGCGTAACCGTGAAATAAATAGTGTTGAGTGTGTTTCTTATAACTGTGTAATTGTGTGTTTTTGCCCAATTTTCGGTGCTGTGTTTTTAATGTGTTTATGTTGTTTTAGGCGATATTTTGTTGTGTCTTATTTGTGCTTATTAAATTAAATGTCAGATAGATTTTTATTCAAGCGGTTACGTATTGAAACGACGGTTAAAATAATTGGAATAAACGAATTCTTAATAAACTAAAGATGAATAAAACATGCTAAAATATGGATGTTGTGTTAAATATGGCTAATATTTGTGCAGTTGCTCATTAATATTTCACCATACATATACCGAATAAATTATATATTTCAATAACATAAAATTCATCACGACGTCCTTTGGCAATTGGACTACCTGGTTTTATAAAACCCACCATTTTAAAACTGCAAATAAAATAATTGATTATAAACTTTTTTCCGTTTCAATAGAGTCGAGAATGCGATTTTATCACGGTCACAATACAGATTCGGTGCTTGGATTAGGAATCATGCTTCAATGTGCAGTTCTTTGCACCCAACCACTGTCAAGCACTTAACATTTTGAATGATACTTCTTATACTAACTTCTGCCCACGACTTCGTACGCAAAATCCCGTTTACTCCCGTTTCCGTGGGATTTTCGGGATTTTTTTTGTGATAAGAACCATCTCCTGACAATAATAATAAACACAACAATAAAAATAATGAAATTGGTCCAACCGTTCACCCGTGATGGTGAGACCAAGAGGGATATAAGGATTCATTTATATACCTATGTACCTTACATTTTATTTATTGGTTCACCAACAATTGTACAGACTAGTTCTAATTTTAGGTTACATGCAACATATACATGATTAATATGATTTATAATTGTATTGTATTATAATTATTGCTATAAATTATATTTCAGGTTAATTAATAAACAATATCAGTTTAAAATAAACTATAACTGAAATGAATTAAGATTCATTTTTCAATAAACAGATCATTTTCATCTGTAGAATAAAATTTAAATTTGACAGGTTTTTGTATGAAAGAATTGGAATGATGACAGGGTATGAAAATTAAAAATCTAATTTGTCCATAAGTTAGGTACAGAAAAAATTTTAAACATATCGTATAATAAAACAACACTTAGATAAAACGAATCAAAGTTTAGGAGTGGGGGCTAAAACGTCATTTCTACATATAAAATATACATAAATTGTGAAAAGTGGATGTTACTTCTGTGTGCACCTCTGCCTACCCCTTCGGGGATAAAAGGCGTGATGTTATGTATGTATGTAAAATATACATAGAAGTGACGACACGCGACATTTCAAATCAATATATCGTCGAAAGTATTGGTTTCTGTGAGAAAATAAAAAGTACGTGTCTAATGTTTTGAAATAATCTACCAGACGGACATTAAAATAAAAATTAGCCATCTACTCTATTGTCAAGCATTTAAAAATTATTCCTTTAATAGTTTCATAGATTAGCTGATTGGAACCGTTATAAAAAATATTATATACTAAATAACCCGGCAAACTTCGTACCGCGTAAAAATAGTTTTAAACCTTCCCTGGACTTCCACAAACATTTCAAGACAAAATTAGCGAAATCGGTTCAGTTGTTTTCGAGTTTTAGCGAGACTAACGAATGGCAATTCATTTTTATTTATATATAATTATGTATATATATGTATACATACATAGATAGATGGATTTATGAAAGAAATAGCCAGTTATGATTACGAGTAAGGATACGAAGAGCTGAACATCGACATATGCAATAATACAGTAATGTCTATAGATAGAGATAGGCAGGGGTGGATTAGACCTACAGAGCGCCTTTAATTTTTTCCCCGCCACCGCTTCTGTTGTATACGGCCAAGCGCGTCTCGCAGAGCCCTTATCCAACCTGGCAACCTGATCACTTGTCTAGTTTGCCGTAGAGATAATACGGCTCTGAAGATATGCAAAGTCGCAAGTGCCGAGTGGTCGCGAGTGCGACTGCCGGGCAAGGGGTCTCGGGTTCGATTCCCAGGTCGGGCGAAATATTACTGGGTTTTAAAAAAATCAGTATTAACACGGAGTCTGGAATTGTGCCTGGTATATGGCAATAGGCTCACCCCCAATTACATGACACTCATGACATAAATAGTGAAAAGTGGGTGTTACATTGTATAGTCGCCGTAATGTGCACCTCTGCTTACCCCTTCGCGGGCAAAAAATGTAATTAAAACGTACAATAAATACCTACTTACCTACCTATACGTAAATCACAATAAATCACTTCGCTTCACAAAAGACAGTTACCGTAGCAAATCATGCATGAATTACAGCTGAATCAATGAAAAATAATAAGCTATTTACTTCAAATGTGTTTTGTATTTATACGTCAATGTCCGTATTTTGTTTGCTTTGTTTAAGACTGCTAAGGCACCGAGCTCGATGCCAAGGTCAGGTAGACTATTACTATAGTATTATTTCAGATAATCTTTAGTTGCACATAATTTTAGAAATGTATTATGGATAGTATGACCATACTGGTAAATAGATAAAATAACTAATGTCCTGTAAATGAAAAATTAGGGATATTATGTTTTTTGCAATATTGTCCATCGCCAGGTTTCACATCACCTGCCTCACATAAGTGGCCACTGTTGACCAACAGCCTCTTCTCACACGGAGATTTGAGCATTAATCACCTCGCTTGCTAAATGCGGGTTGGTGATTTCAAACTTATAATTAGACTTTATAAGCCCGGGTTTCCTTACGATGTTTTCGTTCACCGTTTGTCAGTGGTGTCTAAATAATCTTAGAAAGTAAACATAACTCGGAAAAAGTCACATTGGCACTTGCCATTGTGACCAGGTAGGTTTCGAATCTGCGCCCTCATGAATAAGAAGCGAGCGTCTTAAACCTCCGGGCCACCACCACACTTATATCGCCAGGTTTACAGTATCTTAATCATAAGTCTACTGCATTCAGAGGTGAGTACATAATTATAAAGTTTTCAATGTCAAGATTTCTATATTAACATAATATAATTTAATTATGTGCATAATTAATAATTGACAATATAAGGTGCAGGCATTAAGGACATAAAGTAGCATCTCTTATGTTTTCTGCAAAAGGTAGGCACAATTAAATGAAATGAAATCACAATAACCATCGTTAGATATACTAAATTAATAAAAATCGCGGGTTACTCACGTGAATATACTGAGAAAATCCTATAATAGTTTCGAATCACAGAGGGGTTCTTCACTGCCTATATACCTCTAGTAGACTGCGCGCGATCGCAGCAACCGCGCACGCTGCTCATGAGGAAGAACCTCTCTGTGGTTCGAAACTAGGAGAGCTTTTCTCAGTCTATTCACGTAAGTAACCCGCGATTTTTAGTTAATAAAATGAAAGTAATTTATATTTGTAAATAGGCAACTAAATAGTACTTTTACACGGTAACATTATAATGAATTCTTGATGTGGAAAGAAATGGAGCAGGATTACAAGGATGGAACAGGATTATGAGGATTATGAATAACACTCAATTATACTTTTTCTATGAGTTATTAATCAACCCCTCAAACTCCGCAGTTCCCAATTACTTCACTAGGTATCCAAACATTTTGGATTGCGAAATTGAGATACACTTTTGCATTCATTTTAATGGGGTTTGTGTCAAACACTGAGTTCAGTCCAGAATCTCAATGCATTGAGATTGGTTAATATTAATATCACCAACCCGCATTGAGCAAGTTTGGTGATTAATGCTCAAGCCTTCTCTGTGCGAGACGAGGCCTTTGGTCAGCAGCAGCCACTTATAGGCTGTTGATGATGATGATGAACCAGCATTGAGCAAGTGTGGTGATTAATGCTCAAACCTTAACTGTGCAAGACGAAGCTGTTGGTCAGCAGTGCCCACTTATATGCTAGACCGGAGTGATACCACGGCCTCACAGAAAACCGACGTGAAGCAGTGCTTGTGTTGTGTTTCGTCGTGTGACTGAGGTTACCGGAGGCCCAATTATCCTCCCCTTCCCCAATCTCCCAATCCCTGAATCCCCAACGATTCTCAAACTCCTACCTAATCCCCAAAAAGCCGGTAATACCTCTGGTGTTCCAGATGTCCATGGGCGAAGCCGATTGCTTACCATCAGGTGATCCGTCTGCTCGTTTACCGGCTTATGCCATAAAAAAAGTCAAAGTCAAAGCATTTATTTCAATTAAACCATACTTTGGTACTTTTGAAACGTCAACAAATACAAAATAAATAGCAGTCTGTCAGTCAGTCCGTCAGTGAAGCTAGGTGAAGCTAGGTGCTCATTCCAAAACGTAGATTCGAATGGAGAAGAACGAGCAAGAAACTCCATTCGTTACTCTTTTTAAAAAAGTATGTTAAGTTGTTAGTCAATAAGAGTCCTTCCCTCTTGCCTTACCCAGATCGGAGGAGGCATTTAATGATGTTCTATCTTAGAAACAAAGATGATGAACACCATCCTACATTGTAATCGTTATAGATAACTATGATTGCTAAATACACCTTAAATAAAGATAGGAGTTCCGTACAATATAGCACGTATCTTCACTTTTCTAAAAGAAGCACGTATTATATAGATAAGAATTCATTTCTATCTATGTATCTTTTTTCTTGTTTCAGTTTAATCGAAGGAGATTGCGTAATTTAGTGGTTTAAGGTGGTTAGAATATTTTTTCTTTGATTGCCTCATTAGCCGGGCCCAGTCTCGTGTTCGATTCCCGGGTCGAGCAAAGTATTACTGGGTTTTTTAAAAATCTCAGTAGTAGCACGAAGGCTGGAAATGTGCCCGGTATATGGCAATAGGCTCACCCCCTATTACAGGGGACTCATAACATAAATAGTGAAAATTGGGTGTTGCATTGTACAGTGGCATAATGTGCAACTCTGCCTACCCCTTCGGGGATAGAGGCGTGATGATGTGATTTTCTTATTTCTAATGTTTTTAAAGTAAAACATTAAGTTTGTATTGTAACTTTCGTGAGACATACTAAATAATTTATTATGTTTTCGGCTTACTCATTCGAATCACGGCAGAGGGCGCGCTGGGCCCGCAGACTCGAGTAGCCAGTAGCAGCGCGATAGTCGCCGCGTCGCGTGTCGCGAAATGCTGCTCATGAATATGAGCCTCTAGCATGGCTTGAAACTAGTCGAGTTCCTCGTCGAACTACAACGTGAGTAAGCCGAAAACATAATAATTTAAAACATTAAACACGTACTATTTTTCTTATTTAGGTATGTAATCAAATAAATACTTTCTAAGATTTATACGTATGTATAGTCTGTGGCTGCATAATTATTTGGCAGTACTGCTACTAGTTAATTATATTGCGCAAAGATACTGTTCAAGAAGTCTTTAAAAAAAAAGCACACGATCATCAAGCTATACGAATCCATTTTATCCTGGTCTCGCTATCAATGACCTTTTCCCAATTTCGACGGACAATTTAAAATGGTTTTGTATAATTAGCTTGATGTGTAAAACAAAGAACTTCGGCAAAGTTTATTAGTCTTAAAACCAGTTATCAATAAAAATGACTGAAGAATATTCACTTTTTGTACTCAATAATCACAAGTGATCAGTGTTCTTGTGAGTACTTACTTGAATAAATAATATATTCCATAAAAAGTATTGATTTGCATATCATTTGCAAATTGACAAATGGGCAAAAAGTTAACCATTCATTTTGTATGTATGTGGTTTACATATCATTTATCTTGTTCTTATGTACAATATAGATAAACATATAAAGAAGTATATGCTTTTTTTCAATTCTTCGAAAATTGCAAGTCTCAACCAATGTGAGTTGATTGCTTGTGTGTCAACGTGCTCCATCGTAGAGACCGCAATATCGCTTACTACCAGGCGAGATAGTGGTCAAATGTCGAAGCATCAAATATAACAAAAAATGTGTGCAGTGGGCTTCCTTCGAGGGTCAAAAGATGTTTTGTTTATGTATTTTTAAACCTTCAAATAAGCTATAGTTAGTTTAGTTTATAGGTAACTAGCGACCCGCCCCGGCTTCGCACGGGTGCAATATGCATGTATTATACATACAAACCTTCCTTAAGAATCACTCTATCTATTAAAAAAAACCGCATCAAAATCCGTTGCGTAGTTTTAAAGATCTAAGCATACATACGGACATACAGCGAAAGCGACTTTGTTTTATACTATGTATTGAGTATTGATATACCTAATTTTTGATAGTTTACGCTTTAAAAACGTGGCTATCCAACTACTAATAAGCAACGTTTATCCACCACACCAATTAGGTAGTATAACAATAAAACAATAAATTAAGCTATTACTTATTCAAATGTATACATTTTACAAATTTATTGTGATGATCAAAGTCGAATTTTTTAGCAAAATACCGGTCAAGGATGTTTACAAAACATTTCTAATTGAGATGTTACTATCATATCATCACGTGACATTAACAAGTTGTTAATACGTTAACAATGCTAAATGACTTTTTCCTTAATAAAGATCAGTGGCGTAGCGGGCCTCGGCGGGCCCCGTATAAAATATTGTTTAGGGCCCCCTGTGAAAGGTAAAGCTTTCTCATAAGAGATTTTTTTGCATAAAATACTAATAATTTCTATGAAAATTGGAAATCATTCCAGACAACTTCTTCTACACATATGATCGAACTATGATTAGGTACTTAGTTTTTCTAAATTATCTGCCAACTTTTGAACGCATTCTTAATCTGCGCGGGCAAAAATTGTTTAGTTTGACTTGTTTAATTATGAAATAAAATTAAACATTGGGAAGTTTTTATTAATTCTTGCTTTAGCACGTTTTGGGCCCCCCTGTAGTTTGGGGGCCCCGTATAATTGATACGGTAGATACGGCGTAAGCTACGCCCCTGTTAAAGATCTTATTACTTTGTGTGATCCACAAATTGGTGTCGAGTCTAGGTGTGAAGTGCATGTGAACTTATTTATACCTATGTTTTAAAAAAAAGAGAAAGAGATAAAATAGATAGAATATCAAAACGCTAATAAAATAACTAAGATTAATGCTAATATTGTTCAATCAACAAATGTTCAAATTGTTCATGAATATTTATTGGATAATATAATCTATTTTATGTGTAATTTATTTTGTAATGCATGGCATTTCACATGTTTTAGATGTTGGCATTAAGTGTAAAGCCAATCGGTCAATATGTTTTTTATTACTTTATTTATGTTTATACTTGATTTTATTACCTGGCTCTCTAAACGATTGGAGTTAACCGATTGTATTCCGGAATGGAACAATATATTTGCCTATTTATAAAGGTTTTCAATCGCCTACTACTTTCATCTCTGCACTAATAAAAGGTTGTCTGGAAGACAATGCCCATGGCATTAAATCCACCTGTGCACACTTGCCAATTAAGTCGAATTTAATCTGAAAGATCCATTCACAATTTTCCAGGAATTCCTGGAGATGCAGCGGTGCCAAAGTCAAAGAAGGTGCTGGACACCATCATGAGTCCAAATTACATACCGGTGGAAGAAAAACATGGTTCATATTGGAAAAAATCAGCTGCCCAAACCTTAAAAGCTAAATTAGCAGAGAAACCAAACACGAATAAAGCAAAGAATGGAATTCTGTTTATCGGTGATGGAATGTCTCTGGCAACTGTCATGGCCGCCAGAACATTCTCTGGACAATTGGACCAGGGTTTGGGTGAAGAGTCTGTGCTGAATTTTGAGAATTTTCCCGTCAGTGGATTAGCAAGGGTGAGTTATTTTTATAGTATAACTACAATCTGCATTTTTTTTTTCGTCTCGTCATTAATATTTTTTTCTATATCAGAAATATAGGTACCTCCTTTTTTCACATTGGATCAAAACTTGGAACATCCAACCCCCCCACCCTTTCCCAATCCCCCCAATCCCTGAATCCCCAACATTCCTCAAATTCCTAATCCTTAAAAGGCCGGTAACGCACTTGTACCGCCTCTGGTGCTCCAAGTGTCGTTCTCGGTTTTCGTTTTTCGTCCTGTCCAGTTCCTCTTCAAACAGTTACGTAAATTGAGTAAGCCGAAAAACATAACTCCAACATAATCGTTGTTTCAAAGTCAAAGTCAAAGTCAGAATCATTTATTACAATAAGACCAAAAAGGCACTTTTAAACGTGAACAAGAAATTAAAACTGAGCTATTTGCTAATTTCAAGGTGTAGATTCCTATGGAGAAGAACTATGTAGCAAGAAACTCGATAATCTCAATAATCCTACGTAAAAAGAAAATATAAAATACCTTTATTTTCTCATCACAACGACTATACAACTTCTAAGTACAATGTCAGTATCCAGTAGTATCGTTTCACAGTAACTTTCTAGTTTTTTACTAGTTTTTTTTATCAAGAATCGCAAAAGCCTTTTATTTGTGATGCGCTTCAGTGAAACTGAAGCATCCAAATAAACTGTAGTTTTTAAGCTACTAACGCTCTAATTACAAAGATCGCTTTATAAAGAAAAACTAGTGGTTTTTCCTGCGGTTTTGCCCGCGGAGTTGTATGAAAAAATAATCTATAATACCTACTCTTGCAATTACATTAATCTTATCATTTTTGAGCTTTATAACTACGTTGTAGTAACTTTACACATAAAGTTGATATTCTATATCTTAAAAAAACAGTTAAATAAGGAAGGAAACACAAAGTACAATAGTTTACGTAAAGGCATTGTCATTTTTTTGACAATAAAACCAATTTGTTTGACGAAGCGCGTCTCAAAACTTTGAGAATAATACTTCTGACAAACCGCTTTAGAACGTGATCTCCTATAAAGACTGGCTCGTTACTCAAGTAGCTGCAAACTCGACTTCCTATAACGGGTTTAATTTTCATAACACAACATAACATCACGCCTTTTATCCCCGAATAGGTAGGCAGGCAGGCACATTACGGCTCTTAATGCCACTGCACAATGTAACACCCAATTTTCACTATTTATGTTATGCGTCCCACGTAATAGGGGGTGAGCCTATTGCCATATGTCTGGTACAATTCCAAACTCCTTGCTACTAATGAGAATGTTTTCAAAAATCCAGTAGATAGTACTTCCAACCCGAGAATCCAACTCAAGACCCGGCAGTCGCACATGCGAACACTCGGCCAACGAGGTAGTCAGTTAATGCAAATAAATACATAATATATCATAAATCGTTCATCTTGATAAACAAATTATCCTTACTAATATTATAAATTGGAAAGTGAGTTTTTTTGTTAGTTCCGCTTTCACGCCGTAACTACTGAACTGATTGCTTTGAATTTTAGCAGACGTAAAGTTAGAGGTCTGGATTTAATAATAGGGTACTTTTATCCCGGAAAAATTGATATTCCCGAGGGGAAACTAAAGTATTGGAATAGATGGCGCTGTGTGTATTGGTATATGTCACATAAACTACTTTTTATCCTTTTGTGACGCGAGCGAAGCCGCGGGTAAAAGCTAGTTAGTAAATAAATTATAGACTACTTACTTTGTACATATTTTTCAAGTATCTACATATATAAACTGTCATGGAACTTTACATTCTCTGAAATCATCATCATCATCATCAGCCCGTATTCGTCCACTGCTGAACATAGCCTCCAATGGCATGCCACCGAGCTCGATCTTCAGCTCTACGCATCCAACCACTGTCAGCCACCTTGCGGTGCGGATGTCGTCACTCCACCTAGCTGGAGGGCGCCCTACACTGCGTTTACCTAGACCGGTCTTCACTCTAGAACACGTTACCCCAGCGGTTATGGGTTCTTCGACAAATGTGACCGTCCCACTGGCATTGCAGCTTACTAATCCTTGGGGGCTATGTCGAAAACTCTGTCGGATCACTTCGTTTCGGATTCGATTCGATCGGGCCTGCGGACGGCGAGCATGGGTGGCTCCCCGTCCGACCAGAAACAGACCCGAGCGAACGGCGTGTCGCGTTCCGCGCGCGCCTCAAAGAGCCATCAGACCACCACAGATGGGGCCCAATAGGGCCGATGCCGATTCGGAGTCGCGGAGAACCTAACGGGTAACCGGGGCTCCGGCAAGACGTGCAGGAGAAGGAACGGGGTGGTTTTTAGTCAGTAAGAGTCTGACACTCCCTCCCGCCTCACCCCGGCGGGAGCAGACATTCGATGATTTTCCCCGCTTAAAAAAAAAACAGCATAGCCATCTCCATACCTCCCTGCGCAACCTTATATTGGTGGACCAGTCGCACTGTCAGTGTTCACGTCTCGGCTCCGTATGTCATAACTGGAAGGACGCACTCGTGATCTATCTGTGATGAGAAGACTTGATTAAGTTTTATATACGCTGCCCAGCCAAACTGTATCTTTCTACGAGTTTACTCGAAGCTGTTCCCATCAAACTGCAGGGTTTGTGTCCCAGGTACATTTCCTGAACAGCTCCAAAAGGTGACCCGTTGAGGACAATTCTCTAAAATAAGTATGCATATTTAAATAAACCGCAGAATTTTATTTGTTTGCTTGCATACTTACATCTCTGTAGATCTACGGCGTATTTAACAAGATCAATTGGATGTAACAAATAAAAATTATAAGTTACAAATAAATAAATAAGATATTCCTTACGAGGAACAATTTCTTTACGTAGGACTAATTCTTTACGTGGGACAAATTTCATACAAAAAGAAAGTGATGTTCATTAAAGAGCGAAGTGAACAGCGATAGTGTGTTTTGCTGTGTGAGTGAGGATATCAAAGGTCCCAAAAACCGAGAGAGTTGCGGCTTTGCAAGTGTCCATGGGTAAACCATCTGCTCGTATGGTGTCCAGTCCTATAAAAAACTACGTTTTTGTTCAATAATTGAATTAAAATACCGTTTATACCGAAGTTATAAGCAATGTAATGTTTACGTATCTAGCGCCGCGCTTGACCGCGCATGCGCTCTGTGTCACGTTCAAGGAGAGCTGCGTACGCGTCGAGGTCGCGCGTACTACGTCATACTCTCTTCCGATTTCTATGAATCAAGTAATTATCTACGCGAATTTATTTCATTTTGCGATGTTTAAAAATGTGAAGATTTTCATGTGTTTATTTATTTTGACCACAGATAGGTACTTATATGTATATTTTGTACAGTAAAATGTTCCTTTAACAAACAGGTTAAAAAAAGATAATTGGGTAGTTTCCAGGGTATCAAAATTAAAAATCTAATTAGTCCGTCAGGCACATGATGAATAAATATTAGATACGTACTTTTTATTTTGTCGTATTAGATCGCAATACTTAGATAAAATGACGCTAAATTTAGGAGTGGGAGGTCGTTACGTCATGACGTGCTACAAAATGTGGCACGATGTGACGTCACACGATATTTCAAATTAATATATCGTCGAAAGTATCTAATTTTGTGAGAATAGAAAAAAATACGTGTCTAAAGTTTTAAATTAAAGTACCAGACGGACATTAAAATAAAAAGGAAACTACCCTATTGAATATTTCTAAAAATAAAGCAAATGCTACTGTAAAATATGTTAATTTACTTATTTTATTTTACTTTCAAAGACCGATGTGCAATATGTATTGCCTCGAACTATAGGGACGTGATTGTTTTGCACTCCCAGACGTAACGCGTGATTTCTGTATTGTACACAGAAAAACATCAATTAGGCAAATTAGTTGTTTCCTCTACACTATACCAACTTCCATTCTAGCAAGTAATTCTTAAACAAGTACTTACTATTCGTTTGAATGAGATCGTGTCTCGAGCGAAGTCGAGTGATATGCATAATTTCGAACAATGTGAGGAAGGAAACGTATTTTCACAGTAATTAATACATTGTCAGGCGCAATGCGTTTCTACAGGGACATTATAAGGTCATTGGAGTTGACTTGAAGTAACAAAGAGTTAATGACAAGTCAAAATTCTTTTACTAGGTTTAGCCCGCAACTTCTTACGCGCAGTCCCATTTTTTCCCGTTCCCATAGGATTTTCGGTGAATCCTTAGATATAAAAAGTATCCCATGTCCGTCTCCTGGTTCTAAGGTACCTCCATCAATTTTAATCCAAATCGATTGAGCAGTTCTTGAGTTACAAATATTGTAACTAATACGACTGACTTTTATGTAATGGTATGTGTATATACCTTGCTCAATACATTTTTTTATGGCATAAACCGGTAAACGGTCAGACGGATCACCTGATGGTAAGCAATCGGCATCGCTCAGGGACACCAGAGGTGTTACGAGTGCGTTACCGGCTTTTTGGGGATTAGGAGTTTGAGGATCGTTGGGGATTCAGGGATTGTGGAGATTGGGAAAGGGGAGGGTAATTGGGCCTCCGGTAACCTCACTCACACGACGAAACACAACGCAAGCGTTGCTTCACGTCGGTTTTCTGTGAGGCCGTGGTATCACTCCGGTCGAGCCGGCCCATTCGTGCCAAAGCATCGCTTCACGTACAATCATCAATCTCTTCATGTATACGTATGATTTGTTGATTGGTGGTGCTTTAAATTTGGTTTCTCTTAAATAATAATTAATAATTGGCCGGGATCCGCCTAAGGTGCCGTCTACCAGGCATTCTTGTTTGATATACCTATAAAAATCTTCTAGCATCCATCATTTCAATATGGCCACCATAACATTTATTTTCTATTCACTTTATTAAATTCACAATTTTCTTTGCCTTATTTAATATAATTTTTACTACCTAATTACTTATTATTATCATTATGTTTCCAGACATATTGCCTAGACGCGCAAGTGCCAGATTCAGCGTGCACTGCCACCTCCTACTTAACGGGTGTGAAGACAAAATATGGAGTCATAGGTCTTGATGGCAACGTTACTAGAGGCTCTTGTTATTCTCAACTTCATGAGCCAAACTGGTCTGAATCAATTGGCCAATGGGCTCTGGACCAAGGACTGGATGTAGGTGAGTTTTGAACGAACTTTTTTTATTGAACTGCTGGTTGAACTGTCCCCCTCAGTTGTGTAATGTGGCGTTGATATGATCGGGGTTTCGCAGCGTACAGAACTTGCTATAATTACCTCTAATATTATTCCTTCTATGTGAAAATTGCCCTTTTCGAAGTAGTGTGGCAGTTAGAGGCTGAACATGATGATGATAGCGATGATGTGTGGGTAAAAAGAAAATCTTATTGGCTTGTGATTGTTAGTAATTATAGTGGAAATTGGGTGCTATATCAGATGCAATTGTTATCTCTATACAGGGTGTAAATGCATTAAGTCCGCCATTGTATACCCATTGCACACGCTCCCGAAATGCTGACAAAAAGAAATTGTGTACACGCCTTAATCAAAAATAAATTATTTGAATTGAACAGTCGTTCAATACCATAAGATATAAAAAAATAATCACACTTTCATTAAGTAATTTATTTTATGACTGACTTAATTTTTGGTAACTACTTTTCCAGCAAAATTTTAAGAAATTAGTATGCTGTTTGACGCTAAAGACACGTGACATCAAAATACACAATCTCATCTCTATAAAATTCATAGAAAACTGTCATACAAAAAAAGTATTGAATTTGACTAGTTGGCAAGTACCTCATATAGGTATATAATTTGGATCGTTATAATTTGGATCGTATATATGTAGTTACTATATATAATTTGGATCGTTTTTGTTTTCGTATTATTCATGCAACATCAGCCTTGAGTAGTTGATTACAACTATGATTACATTTTAGAAATATTGAATTTCTTACTTTTATGAACGTACAACTTGTTTTTGACCATCACCTGTCGGCGATTTTGGGAGCATTCTGTTATACACTCGTTAGTCTGTCTATACACTGTATAGATTTTGCCTATCTCAATGGGACAAAAATGAACCCAATACAATGAAAAATTTAAAATATTATAATACTAATTATAACATTACCATGTCTTTCCAAATTCATAATCTTTAATTTATATAATTTTATATTATATAATATAATATTTATATTATACCTCTATAATTTTGCTGTACGTGTGTATGTCATTGAACTCCTCCTAAACGGCTTAACCGATTTAAATGAATTTTTCTGTGCGCGTCTGAGTGGCGCTCTGGATGGTTTAGATTCACAAATCAACTCGGCAGATGGCGCTGCAGTCGGGTCTAGGTTATTTATCCTAAACGACTGAACTAATTTGAATGAATTTTTGTTTATACACTCAAGTGGATATGCAGGACAACGTCTGTCGGGCCCGCTAGTAAAGTATAGATATTTTCAATGTATATATACCACTACCGTTACGGCAAACCAAATCATTGTTCATGGACGTACGAAAACGGAACAATTGGTGATTAGAGGACAATCGCTTGATATTCAATTAATTCAACTACGTCGATTTCTCACTCATTCATTAATAGATATGAATATAATAATGTCTGTAATGTAGACATTAAGTTAAGGGGGTAGACAGAGTGTCTGTATGTATGAATGTATGTATGTTTATATATGTAATAATGTTAGAATGTAGTCTATTTGTCACACCGTAGGTTAAGAGATCCAACTGTTAGACTAGGTCATTGCCAAAAACCATCCAGACGGACAGCAGCGCTCTCAGATAAACCTGAACGTTTTTTAGGGTGATTTATTTATTTTTATTTCTTTACCTTTATAATTAACTGGCTGACCCAGCAAACTTTGTATCGCCTAAATTTTTTTTCTTACCTTTTAATAAACCACGGGCTTACTCTTGAATTCAACTCCAATCTATCAACATTGGTATTGTGAAATTTTGTGCTCTTTAGTTGTGCACTAGCGCCCATTGCATTCGTATTGCGTGGATATTTAAGGAACTAAATGGTATTTAGTTTGGCTTTGTATTCCGTACTCTGAATGCTATGTCAACAGCTACGATAGGGATTGTATAGTTTTAACATTGAGGCATTAAAATTGCATTGACATTAAGATTGGTTTCAAGAGTACCCACGTAAGGACTTCCAGGAACATTATTGATGCAGCCGTTCTCGAGTTTTTGCGAGACTAAATAAGGGAAATTCCTTTTTTTATATATAGATAATTATATTTGTGCACAATTCACAGACAGTAGACAAGAGAACATGAAAACTGATCAGAGGTACGGTGACCAGTTTAGGTTAACTTATCCTTGTCTGTCAAACTCTATGACATCTTTAACTTTACTATATTGACATAAAGTCGAAAATCCAGTGAATATTTTTTATAGACTGGCTTTAGGTTGATCTTCAGACCACTGTACATAAGTCTTTTCGATCAATTTGGTAGGATCTTTATTCCTTCTGTAAAGTGTGGAGTAAGTATATGGCAAACCCTTGAAACACACATTTCAGTCATGGACAAATAGGCAAGTAGGTGATGGTAAAATTATAAATGACAACTTTAAATGTGAAATAATACTATTATCATAAACATAAGCAACAAATAATGGAAATTTAAATATAATTATTATATATGATATAATGTGGCGTACAGCGCCATCTATGAAATTTATTTTGAACGAAAATGACAATTAACTAATGCAAATAATTTGAATGTTACCCGCTAGAGGGCATAGGTAACCTCAGTAATCGTTCAAATACTTTTGAGATAATAATAATTATCAAAATTCAACAAGGTATTTTAAGAAATAAATGTTTTATTTTTCAAATAATTGTATAGTTTTTAAGATTAATTGTATAGTTTTTTAGATGACATTTTAGTAAAGTTTAAATAATAATTTGTTTATATTGTTAGGGAAAGATCAATATTATAAAAGTTAGATTAGTATATTTTTGTTACCCAGTTTTGACTGAGTGGAATGATGTGTCATTCACGTCACAAAGTAGCATTTCATTTTTGTAGGTTAATTAGTAAACTCTAGTGTTTTATTTTAGGTTATGAATTGGCCGCGTGTAAATATTACTAAAATCACGTTAGTCACATCAATCAAAACTATACATGTACAACATTGGAAATTACTGAAACACTACAAAATGAGGTATGAATTATATTAATTAATCATTCACTAGGTACATGGAATACCTATTTTATTACTTATATAATAAGACATGATATTGACGAAGAAAACAGAGATAAGTTGAATGTAATACTTATTTCAAAACTTTTATAACAATGACTTATTGGAATTAATGTCCTTCCTCCACCCTCCAGGACACCCTCTGTCCATAGAAGTTCTCCATCGCAACCTGTCATGAGCTTTGACATTAGTTTAAAGAGATAATTAATAGATGGCGTTAGTAGTCTGTAGAGAGAAAATAAATTATTCTGGCCAAGTTACCTACTAATATAATGAATGTTCGAAAGTTTGTGAGGATATATGGATGGATGGACGGATGTATTTATCACTCTTCCACGAAACAACTACTCGACGGAGGATGAAACATGGAACAAAGATTATTTTATAGTCTACTAGCGTAGTTAAAACCCGTGAACGTGGGTAGAGCCGCTGCCCCACTGGCGAAAGCAAGTAGAGAATAGAAATTTACAAAGAAAACATTTGAGACGACTAGCAGTAGTTTCAAAACTCTATTTTCCTGATTCTATTGCGTCATACAATCAGCATAGGCACGTAATAACGATGACGTTCAAATAATTGTTCACAAACAACAACAATTCCTATTATTGTTTGTTTGTTTTTGTTTTGACCCATCCTCGTGTTTATGGTGTTGGAATAGTCATACAGAGTTTAAATTTACGTCATTTTTTTTCAAAGTACACGTAGAAGCCAAGTGCGTATATGTCACCAAAAAATAACAAGAACCGTTAGTTTTTTTATGGGAAAAGCCGGTAATCAAGGACACCTGCAACACCAGGGGCGTTACAGGTGCGTTACCGGCCTTTTGGGAAATAGGTATTTGGGGATTGGGGGGTCACGTCGGTTTTCTTTGAGGCCGTGGTATCACTCCGGTACACCCAGCCCATTCGTGGTGAAGCATTGCTCTCTCACACTTTCTAAACAAATAAGAACTTCCGTTGGATTCTAAACGAGACGTAAATAGGTACCATTTAGAAAACGCGGATCTTATCTTGGTTACAATACTTATAAAGGGCAAAAAACGATTTTGCCCATAAATATGCTTTTAGGTACACAGTAAATTATTTTTCCGAACTCAATTGAACTTCAAACATTCAAAAATATGGTTTATTTTTCCAGGCATAGTGACGACAACGCGGGTAACTCACGCTTCACCAGCGGGCATGTATGCCCACACATCGGAGAGGAACTGGGAATCTGATGCCGATGTGCCTGATGAATGCTTGGCTGCTGGATGCAGGGACATAGCGTATCAACTCGTCACTAGCAGCCCTGGAAGACATTTCAAGGTATCATTACTTAAAGTACTGCCTCATTGGGCGAGTGGACGCAAGTACGACTGTCGAGAAAGGGACCTCGGGTTCTATTTCCAAGTCGGGCAAAGTATTGCTGGGTTTTTAAAAATAATCTCAGTGGTAGCACGGAGTCTGGAATTGTGCCCGGTATATGGCAATAGGCTCTCCCCCTATTACATGGGACTCATGACATAAATATTGAAAAACGGGTTACATTGTACAATGGCATTTTTTTTATGGCATAAGCCGGCAAAAGAGCAGACAGATCACCTGATGGTAAGCAATCGGCGTCGCTCATGGACACCTAGAACACCAGAGGCGTTACAAGTACGTTACCGGCATTTTGGGGATTAGGAGTTTGAGGATCGTTGGGGATTCAGGGATTGGGGAGATTGGGGAAGGGGAAGGTAACTGGGCCTCCGGTAACCTTACTCGCACGACGAAACACAACGCAAGCGTTGCTTCGCGTTGGTTTTCTGTGAGGCCGTGGTATCACTCCAGTCGAGCCGGTTCATTCGTGCCGAAGCATGGCTCTCCCACACTTAAATTAAGTGCCATAATATTCACCTCTACCTACCCCTTCGCTGATAAATGGCGTGAAGTTATGTTATTACTTAAAACTAACCAATAATTCTATAAGGGCCCACAGCTGAACAAAGGCCCCTTTTCACATGGAGACATCGCCTCGCTTGATCGAGGTGCATAAGCAATAAACTTATAATTGAAAATTATGTCCATGCTCCCTCACAATGTTCTCTTACACCGTGTATCAGTGATGTCTAAATCTCCCAATACCTGGCTGGCAATGCACTTGGAGCTGCCCTGGTGTTGGCGCCGGTTGCTTACCACCATGTAATCTGGTCGTTTGCCACCCTATTCAATAAAGAAAATATTGTAATATAAACCTTTGTGTATAAAGGAAACAAATAAATGTATTATCACTACATAGTATAAAACTAAGTCGCTATCCGCCGTCTGTGTGTCCCTACGTATGCTTAAATCTTTGAAACTACGCAAAGGATTTTGATGCGGTTTTTTTTAGTAGATAGAGTGATTCCCAAGGAAGATTTATATGTGTAATACATGTGTATTGCACCTGTGCGAAGCTGGGGCGGGTTGCTAGTTATTAATAATTATATTATTCTATTATTTCAGGTCATTATGGGCGGTGGTCGTAGAGAATTCCTCCCGAACACGACGAACATTTTAGGCAGTAAAGGGAGGAGGCTGGATGGCGTGGACCTCACGGACCTGTGGCATGTCGACAAACTCAATATGAATGCGACACATCAATACGTCACCGACAGATTAGAGCTTTTAAAGGTACCCATCTATATCTTATACTTCTCATCATATACTATTATATAAAGCGGAAGAGTTTGTTTTTTTGTTTATTTGTTTGAACGCGCTAATCTCCGTAACTACAAGTCTGATTTAAGTAATTTTTGTGTTGGATAGCGCATTTATCGAGGATGGCTATAGGCTATCAAACATCACGCTACGACCAATAGGAGCTGAGCAGAGCGTATGAAACCGCGCGGAAGTAGCTAGTTTTTAATAACTATCGTAAAACAAAAAATAGTTAAAACCAAAAAATGTTATTGTTTATAATAGTAGTAATAGTATCGATTATAATATTATATTCCTCATTCAACTTGTTATGGAGGTACGGACATATAAATACAAATGGCCGATAAAACATGTAGGTATAGGTAATTCACAACAGCTGATCTGTGTTATTTATAAACAGTAATGTTATTATTAATTATTGTTCCTGTTGCTAACAGGAATATGACACAATTCGAGTCAAGGATGCAGTGATAACAGCTCGCGAGCTGCCTATAGTTTATACAAATAATGACGTCAAACTATATTCATTAAAAGATTGAAATGTACGTAACAACGTTAAATGCCTTGGGGTCATCGGTGACCGACGTTAGCGGAGTAATTTACTTCAACAGTTTTCTGTTGACAGTCAAAGCTTTTCTGGCCCGTATTCGTCCACTGCCGGACATAGGCCTCTCCAATGGCACGCCACTGAACTCGGTCTTCAGCTCTTCTCATCCAACCACTGCCAGCCACCTTGCGGATGTCGTCACTCCACCTAGCTGGAGGGCGACCTACATTGCATTTGCCTAGACGCGGTCTCTACTCTAGAACACGTTTATTCCTGCGGTTATCGGTTCTTCGACAAATGTGAATGGACCACTGCGACTTTAGCTTACTGACAGCTTAATGTCTTCAGTATGCACCAAATGCTTCTTGGGTCAAATATCTGCAACAAAAAACTTGTATCATTATATTATAAAACATACATAATAGTATTTTCATTTGTACCAAAATACAGCTGTAATGCAATCAGTAGGAAAGGATACATAATTAATTAACAGTAAACTTGAAGTAATGTTTCGCCTTGTCCTGTTTCCAGGTCTTCAATTCCGACGACTTGCCGGAGTACTTGTTGGGGTTGTTCAGGGATGATCACATGGAGTACCATCTTAAAGCCCAGAACCAGCCATCTCTCGAAGAAATGGTGGAAGTAGCCATCAAGATGCTTAGTAGGAGCTCTAAGGGATTTTTCTTATTTGTTGAAGGTAACATTTGACCTCTTATTAGCAACCAAAAATTACTGTCTACATCAAGGACGATGAAAAAAAGGCGAGTAATTTCACTGGGAAATGATTAAAGCACCAAGATGTGGTACATCTATGTGTGCGTGTACTTGCAACACCTTAATGTGTGAAGTATAATGACGGGCCATGTCACGCGACCGATGTCCTTCGTGTCAATGTGTGTGTATTCTGCATGTAAGTCTATAGTAGCCCGGTGCCAAAGCCGTTGTTTCAAGAGACAGACAGACACAGAGGAAAACAGTTGCCAAAGACTGAAGAATTTTTCGTAAAAGTTTAATCTCGATAGGTTATTAATCTTAAAATTTCTTCAATTTACAGGTGGAAGAATCGATCATGCGCACCACGACAGCTTAGCTCACTTAGCACTGGACGAAACGGTGGAATACTCAAAAGCTGTGAAGAAAGCAAGATCTCTGACCAGTGAGGAAGACACCCTGATAGTCGTCAGTGCTGACCACGCTCATACGATGACAGTTGCTGGGTACCCTTCAAGAGGCAATGACATTCTTGGGACTGTGGACACCGCAAATGGAATGGATGGAAAACCCTATACCACTATTAGTTACGCAAATGGAAGAGCTCAATCGATTGCAGCGGACGGAAGGGTTGATGTGACCCAGGATAAACAATTTACATCTCGTAAGTATCATTTTAATTCCAAACAAATACTTTGTTAGTCTAGTTCGGTCTTTGGATTAGTCAAGACTTTTGGTAATAATAATAATAATATTATAGTATCCATTTTTGTACCTCAAAAACTTTTTTTATAAATTCCTCTTTGTCTAGTATCGATATCAAGTGTTATTTTGTTCTAATTAAAGGTGATCCAGACTACGCCTATCCAAGCTTAGTGCCTTTAGATTCGGAGACTCATGGTGGAGAGGATGTGGCAGTGTACGCATCTGGACCTTGGCAGCATCTGTTCACTGCCAGCTACGAGCAGAACCTAGTCCCACATCTAATGGCCTATGCCATGTGCATCTCAGAAGACCAGCATGGCAACTGTGGACCAGAAATCCATAAATACACCGCTAGTGGTGTCACCACCAACCCTAGTACCAATTTACTGATAAGTTTAACTGTGATATTTATTTTAAGGATATTTTATTAGGTAAACAGACTTAATTTTTTATTTTACTTTAATAGCGTAATAAAGATGGAATTGTATGGAAAGATCGGAAGTAATTTAAAATACGGCTTATTTACGTAAATTATTTGAGAAAAGTTCCCGTAGTTTCAAGTGATACCGGGACTCTTCATCAGCAGCATTCACGGTGCAGTCACTGAACCTACCAGCAGAGCTTTTCTCGAATAATTCACACGAGAAAATCGTATTTTAACTAATTTAATATATCTGACGATAGTTACACAAAGATGTCAATTATAGTTCTACTTCCCTGCGATCTGAAACATTCCCAAATAGCCTTGAACTTCTGTATCCACTATACCTGTTTCTGTATCATGTTACCACATTTATTCGAGTTTGCCACATACATACCCGCGGCAAGGACTTTCGTTTTATAATACTTTTACTTACGAATAATGCAGTTTTCTTGTTTGTTTCATGAATTTTAATCAATAGGCATTTTTGTGAGCTGTGAGTTTAATTTATCAAGATAGTATTTATAAAAGGGTTCTCTATAATTTTAGGAATTTAGAATTTTGTCCCCTGTATAGCCCTTTTCGTCTTAACCTTTCATGTGTATATAACGCGGACCCACACGAAACGAAATATCTTTTGTATTGTGTCTCATATCAATGTATTCTACTAGTTAATACCAAATTTTATACTGGTCACCTCTACATACCCCTTATGCCTTTTTTAATAAAGATGGAAATATTTTGATAAAACATATTAAAGTAAATAAAAAATATTTTGCATAGCATCTAGCTACAGAAAACTATCAAAACACGGACTTCTGTATCATCGTTAAATGAGACGGATAAACACCAATTAGTGCGACAATTGACAATTTGAAAATTAAAACTTAATAAGCTGTTGTTCAGCATAGGACCACTTTACCTACGACGTAGATAATTCCATAGTCAAATGACTCCTTGCAAACGTGATGAGGTTGAAAACTTAATAAAAAAGTTACATATTATCTACTGCATAGTAGTTGTACATAATAAATGAATTAGAAAATATTGTTTAAGACCTAGACTAAGAGAGATATTTCAGTATTTTTAATTAATAAACATTGTGAAGTACAATTAAATGGAAGTTTTTTATTTACTGTAGACATAGGCTTTGTTTTATTGTATGCTAGCATTGGAAAGCACTATGAAGATATAGATACCAGGCTATTACAGTCTGGTCATGGAATATTCGCCACAGTGAAAATCCCCCCACCTCCAAGGCGACCGGTGATGTGTCTAGCGACTGCGGCTTGGATGTAAATAAACACAGACAAATGAAGTGAATACCTAGTTTTACTTATTAAAGTTTTAAACGAAAGAATTGAAACAAATCCTGATAGATCTTACACAATTAGTTTGAACTATATCTCCCTCCCAGGCCCAGTGTCAGACTGCGCCAGACAATCCACAAACAGAGAGAGATGGCGGGAGATCGTCAAGAAAGCTATATCGGCCTCCAACACAAATACGGCCGACTCAACGTGACCACGACCGCTCTACCAAGAGCGAAACGACAGAGAAGATATCTCCCTATCTATTTGATATTTATCGATCAAAGTGTCCCAAGAAAGTGAGAAAAGTACTAATTTTGTAGCACTCGCTTGTTTTTTACACAAACACTGAATGAATGCTCATAGGTATACCCCATGATATTACAAGTTTAAAAAGGTGTTGATAGGTTATAAGCGTTCAGCGAGTGTGTACGTCACAGTCGCGTTAATATATTCAATGTATTCATGTGTGCGTTAGTGTGCCGTTCGAAAGTCAAATGTTGTGAAATTACTCATAATATTGGGCTCAAATTGATATGAAGACTTGTATTGATGAAAAATCTAATACTAACGGGTTGCTGGGGCTCCGACTCGAACTGCAGGAATAGGAACAAAGTGGTTTTTAGTCAGTGAGAGTCTGACACTCCCTCTCGCCTCACCCTGACGTAAGAAATCTTTCGATGTTTTTCCCCACTTTAAAAAGGCTTGTCATTGTTTGCCAATGATACCAGTTGAAAAAAAAATAATTCTAACATCCGATTTTTACATTAATATGTTCATTTTTAATAAATAATCATGAATAGAAATGAACGAAACGTATTTAACACGTTAAAAATAGTTTTTGAAACCTTTATATATTTAACTCGTCGAGTACCGGTTTTGCAGACACAATTATAGAACAATAGGTTGCGGTCACCGGTGACCGCTTGGTGTTTGACAGTTTAAAGTAGATTAGTTTGTATCCACATTGAAGGTTAGGTAGCTACTCATAGTGATTTGTAAATTATTTTTAATAAATGATACCAATTAAAAATATTGGAAGTTATCTACGTTAAAATAAAATACTTAATAAATAGTTATCAAATAAATAAGATTAATGAATATGTGAAAATGGTAGATAATTGATTAATAATGTTGGCAATACACTTCACACCTTCTTGTGAATCTGTGGTTTGAATGAAAAATTTGATAATAAGTATCTTGGTGCGCTTACGCCGGCCGGCATTTTCATTCGCGCTATTTGCGGGACGATAGCTGGTCGTCACCTCGCCACTTGCCTGAAAGATACGGTCGAAGCAAGACGTTCGAAATTCGAATCGACGAAAATGTTTCGGAAAATCCAAGTGTCACTTCTTTTTAACATGAGTTTAAAATACTTTTTTAAAAACAATTTTCTGCTTTTCGGTCTGATTTATTTAACTATGTCGATTTACACAGTAACTACTGCACCGAGTGATGTTCCGGAAGCTAGGAACTTTAAAGAAATTTTTCATAATATTGTAAAACGAAGTGTTATAAATATGAATCCCGATCACCTTTGCCCTGAAAAATATTATAGGTTTGGGGTCCAATGTAATCCCTGTACAGAGTGAGTACTAGCTTATACCTATTTATACTTTCTTTTATTTTAATTCCATGCATTTGCAAATTTACGTGTAATCTAATATAGTAGACAATATATTATTGTGTTCTGATTTCAATAAATATTCGAATAAAAATGAAAAAATACAAGATATTTATTCGTTCTCAGTATTTAACTGAAAAATCCGCCATCTTGTTTGAAAATGCACGTGTATTTTCTCCTTCTTGAAAACTTAGGCCCAAAGTCTTAGAGTTTAGTATATTCGTGTTATTTTCCGGCAACAGATCATAACTAAATCTCTTCTTATTTATGTTTTTAATTTTATACATATCTTATTTAATTATATTTTAATTTATTTTTACGTTACATCAGATTTGTGCATTGAGCAGCTTCATTTAGTTTTTTTTTTAATTACGTGTGATAGTGCCATTTTGTAAACCGATTTGAAAAAATAAATTCACTGTCACTTGTGGAAATTGAATCTTAAAATAGTACGTGCGTGACTAATGGATGTCGTATAGATTTTTAACCGATGTTTCTCTACAATTGGAACCCATGTAGAGCAGGCGTCAAAGGAATCAATTTAATAATTATTTTAATGACAAAATTCTAATATTTAAGTTAATGACGGTGTCTGCCGTTATATCTTTGGTTTATAGAAAAGTTTTTACGTCTAATGAATTTAATTTGGGTCATCATCAGATTTAAGAAAATGACAGATGACCTTCGTATCAATGTGTGTAAGTTGAAAGTTCCGCGTGTGATGGCGCCACTGTTGTTTCAAGAGCCTCCACCTTTTTTCAACGTCTTTGGGACCTTGCATCGTGGAATAATAAAAACTAGGGGAAGTGTGATGTAGGCGTGCCACGCGTGTCATAATTACACTAACGTGTCATACTTTCGCTTGAGAGGATTCAAAAGACATTCATATACTTGTTATGTTAAGGTATAAAAACGCGTGTCGCGAAATAAAAAAAACGTAACTATGCCGTGTTGTGCTATTTGTGGCGTGCATAAATTATTTAATCTCAATTATAGAGCATTTGCAGTTACCGGGTGTTATCTAGGTATATTCTCAAACTTACTTATGAACTATAAACTTACATTAAGAACGGTAATTATTATTTTGATTTAAGTTTAACTTAATTCCTAACAAGTTTTATGTTTGTTAATTACTCTAGCAAATTTTATGTTTTTCAATTATAATAAAGGTTGAGTATCTGTCGATATCGATAATGTAATTAAACATACTATGTCTCGAACCTGCGGGGTTATTCTGACGTCCTAAAGTCAGAATGGTTTTATTGAGGGAAAGAAACAGAGCTATACAAGTCGTCTAGAGAGATCTCGTTCCCTAAGCAGAACTAATCTGGCTTTACACCGTCATAACGTATTGTCTCATAACGCGATTTATGACCTTATCTGTAACGAAATAAAATGTATAATTGCTAACACTAATGACCATTCATGACCGAGTAGCAGAATTTACTTCTAAACATCCTAAATAGACTCCGCACTAATGGAAAATAAATTTTACATAATAGGTTTATCCTGAATGAAAGATATACGACATAAGCTGGTTTTGCGATTTAAACCGGTGACCGCAACCTATTGTTCTATAATTGTGTCTATAATGACGGTACTCGACGACAAATTAAAATAGTTGTCTATTTGTAGTGCCATTGACGTTTTCGAAATAAATGATTATCATTTCATTTGTGTGAGTTCGGCGACAGTGGTTCCCGTAGTAATCGTCTTGGATGACAATTGCCTAGTTTTTACTATTCTATGCCTCGTATCGTATCCTATTATAACAATAATTATGTGAAACTTTTTACAGTCGAATTATAAACGTTTTCGTACAAGTTTTTGTTTCAACTCTTGATTTTTCCGATATAGAACGAAGTGTATTAAAAAAAAACAATGTGTAAATTGAGTCGTAAAATCATCATATTCCATAATATTATGCATTTAACAAGAAAAATCTTAGTTATGGTAACGTCATCGGGCGCCACACCTACGCGCCCCGCGCACCCGCCACCGCCCCGTACCGTCGCGATTCGAGGAACAAACCAGTAGGTAATTGGCATGGCGTTACGGCAACGCTCTACTCTAAATCAATCAGCAAGCAAACAAGTCAGCAACATTTGTATTGCTTTTTCAAATTGCACTAATTAAATAGTTTGTAACAAAATATTGCGTGAAAAATATAATTAGTCAGTAAATAATTTACCCATTAACCTTTTGAATTTTTCTTGTGAAGTAAAGGTACATTTTATTTTTAAAAATGGCCGCGTGTTCGGAGAACACGCAATTATGAGGTGTTCAATATGACAATTCGGAAAGAGAACAAGAAATGACAGCTTATATTCTGCCATCACCATAATTATGCAATACTAGCTTTTGCTCGCGACGTCGTACGCTTATGTTTTCTCCCGTTCCCGTGGGATATTCAAGTCTTATTTCTAACATAAGAACTTTCTTCTGTCAATAACAAACACTATAAAAAAATAGTTAAATCGGTCCAGCCGTGACGACGTGACCAAGGGATACAGGAATTTATTTTTACATAATTAATTAATAGTCAAGTCGTTATCAGGTCAGTAAGAGTGGTTTATAGTCAGTAAGAATCTGACACTCCCTCTCGCCCTCACCCGGGCGGTAGAATCATTCGATGATTTTCCCCCTCAAAAAAAAGTCTTTATCAAGTCAATTTATTGTTATTTCCTTTTTTCCAGGTACACGGAGATGTATGAAGGCTGTCCAAGCTTCGGCCGAGGTGACTACTACTACTAATAATAATATACTCAATACTCACACTAGTGGTACGGCAGCACTCTTCGATTTTCGCCATTATTCTATAAAATTTCTGCCAGCAATTTTGGAATCAGATCCGGTGTTAATTTCGGCCGTCAGTGATCACGCCATCACGCCACCACGCCACGTCACCTAGGCGCTACTTCCAGTCGTAACTGCATGGGACCAACATGGCATTGAAATGGACTGGACCGAACAATCACACATCGGACGTCGAAACACTTTGTTAATGTGAAACGCTCTCTATGAGGAATCTCTTAAGTACATATTTTGCCATTTTTTTACTATGCTTTTGTCGCCTACAAAAATGTCAGATATTAATACTCGTATTACCGTTTAATAATGTTAGACTAGCGATGTATAACAACATAATATCACGCCTTC